AAAAAAAAAAAAAATCGAAGGAAATATACAAATAGTAAATGAGATATCCATAAGAATCATTTTCTAACCTCTTTTGGAAAGGGAGGGATGGTGATTTCATTTGCTTTAACCTTGAGACACCACACTGGATACAACATAACATACACAACAAAATGTATGCATGATCGATCCAATCAACATGGTGCATCATTTTGAACTATTAGTCGTTAATTTATAATGGAAGGTCAATAGGTGACAACAAGAAAACAATTAATGAAACATGAAATTACCACTAATTAAAGAAAACAAAGGCCTCAATTCAGATTTCTACCTATATCTTCACAGTTTCTCTCCATGAATTTTTGAACAGCCACCATCAACTTCTTAACCTGGACGATTATAATATGACAGTTCCCATAATAGAGATTAACACAATCATGAAGATTATAGAGAAATGAATCATCAAGTAAAAGTTTTTGTTTGGTCAATGCATTATGCCAAAAACATACCCATGTGGCTTTCCTTAAAACAAAAAGTACAAATGGTAAAACTTGTAATAGTCCAATCATCTATGCATTTCATCATGAGGTCAAACGAGAGCCCGTCCTTTGATTCCATTCCACAAAATCGAGTCTAAGTAAACAATAATATCCAAGATTTGCTTCTTAATCTTCAATCTTTTTGAAATTAATGCAAAGATGATATCCAAATATTCCTCAAATGCAAACACCAATAATTGATACATATATGCACTGACAAATATGTATACAACTCTAATGTATCAAATATTCCTCAAATGCAAACACCAATAATTTCTATCACCTTTTTTCGGTTCCAATGTCCATCCAAACTCCACAATGTATCACTCGATGTCCTGCAAAAATAAAAATAAAATACAAAAGCTTACTGTTATAATTACATTAAATTATAGAATGTTGATTCCACTATGGAGCCAACTGTTGGCTTCATAGCAAAACCGTATGCAAACAGAGTTAGTAAAACAAATATCAGGAAAGAAACTAAGACATAGTAGTTATTAAAAACGGTTGGTAAAGTTTGAAAAATATCCTATTCCTTTAACATCATTTCATCACCATATATCTGGTTTGTTAAAACTGATAGATTGAAAGAAAATATAAATCATAATAATTTTGTGGTTAGTTAGAGTTGGCCAGTTGAGTATCTTTCATTTCATGTTTCAATATTTTTTCAAGAACTTCCTTCACTCATTCGAAAGTGAATCTGCTATACCTATACATACCAAAATTGTACACGAATACTAAATTATGTTGCACAATACATAAACTAACCACAGCCCAGGTTAGTCTTGATTACAATAAAATCCAGTTGTCTTTGTCATTACGTCTTCCTCTTCCAATTTCTTGAGCTATAAATGCTAAACCTCACATAAAATATAGTTTTGATAGATAACTGGAAACTGGCAACAGGCTAACCATATGGATGTTTCTGAAATTTCAAACTTGCTGTCTAAATTCTCATTTTTTTTCCTTCTCTAGTGAGAATATCCTTTATGCTCCTAATACATGGCAGCATCCACGCAATAGCACGAACGCACGCGCACACAAACAAATGCATCTACATATCTATGTATATTCATAAAGATCCAAATATATCTGTCAGAACATATAAAACGAAAACGCGACATGTGCCCACACCAAATTCACAATAACCGCTGCAAGTGCCGACACAAAAATTAACAATACTCACATGTGTCCACACCAAAATTCACAATGCTCGCACGTAAACGAAAACATAGCAAGTGCCCGCAAAAAATTCACAATACTCGCACGTGTCAACAAGAAAGTCACAAAACACTCTCTTTTAGACAATTTCATATGTACAAGGTCTCATTTTCAAAACAATACCTACACCAGTTTCAAGTTTCAGCCCTCGGCCCCTGCATGATCTCGGCCACGTTATGCGCAATGTACTGAGGTTGCCCACTCCTGTAAAACAACCTTTATTCCTCAATCTTGCAGGGTGTTAATGTGCTGCTAAGTCACTGGATGACTCCACATTCTTGGCTGCATGAGAGGGAAGACAATTATTGGTTTGGCTTGCTCGCCAGCCAAAGGTCAGTCCCTCATTATACAAGTTAATAAGTTGTCGCATGCACCGTTAGCGGTCTGTTAGCATAATGAAACTTATCGAATTAGCACAAAAGTAGTTCAGCTTATTTCACAAGTAATTAATTAGTAACCAGTAACCAGCACAATTGTGTCTAATCACTAAACAACTTACACAAATATCGTTGAACACAAGGGTTGTGCATTCAAACAGACATATAATATCTACCTAAATTCTTTTATAGCAAAACTTTAAGAAGAATCTGGAGCACAAAGTTGCATATCAAAAATGTATTATACACATGGAGCCGATAACGAAAAAGATGAATCATACCTTGGACAATGGATTTGGCGATATGGGAGAAACAACAAAAACAACAGCCCAGTGTATGTAAAGTGGAATGACACTCTGCAGACCAATAAACTTCCAAAACTATTCAGTTGCGTGTAACTTATATGCGAACTGGTCGAAGAAGCACAAGGCAGATTGAGTGAACACCACACACAAACACACTCAGTCTTGCGCTTCTTCAACCGGTACGCTTTTTTAAGTTACGCAGATGAAGAGTGTTTGAAATTTCATTGGTCTGTTGAACCACATTCGACTTTACGAGCCAAACATTGGGCTAATGTTTTGGTTGTTTCTCCCATATTGACAAATACATTGTCCAAGGTATGATTCATCTTTTCGTTTTCGGCTCTTTTTCATTTTCGGCTCCATGTGTTTATGTGTTTATGTAGAACTTGTTGCAAGCGTAGCATCCGGGCTTAAGATGGCTGGGCTGAAATCATTGAAGCTATTGTTGTGACTAAGACGTGACATAATACATTGTTGATAGAATATACTCAACCCTTGTGTTCAATTATATTCATGTGTGTAACTTGTTTGGTAATTAGACACAAGTATGCTAGTTACTAATTATTTACTTGT